TGTTCAGAATGTGCTTGTGTTATGGGATTCTGTAATCCTAACTGGTGTTCTTGGGGGACTACCTCATTGTCACTTTGCTATGCTTGCTCACTCTTCCCAATGGACACAAGCTCAAGGACCAGAATCTAATATGCAGAATGTTTCCTACTCGCTACTGGTGACACACATTGTTCAATTTGCTTTGTTGGTTGTTGTTCTGCTACTGGTGGCTAAGATTGAAAGGCATGGGGAAAGCCGACATATACGCCCAGTGACAACCTCGGCCCAGTTGGGAGTGGAGACCCAACAATTTGAAGGTGTTATGCTGGTGGATCCAATCTCATGCATCCCTCCTTATGCCACCCTAATTGAACTGCCAGCTGATCCTTTTCCTCCAGATAATATTTCAAGTATACCTTCGCTCAAAAAGTGCAAGAAATCCAAGGGAACAAATGTTGTCATTACTGACACAGATAGAAGGAGTGCTCGCCTAAACAAGTTGACTAAGGGTTTCTTGTCTCCTAATCCCAATGTTGCAATTGGCAAGGCAAGGGGGAAGAGTGCAAAAATACTAAAGTTAATTGCTGAACAAAGTGGTATAATCTCTTCCCTGCGTCCTCTTCCCCCTAGTTTTTTCAATCCAGATGAGGGCAATGAACTAGAGAGGTGGAGCTGGGTTTTGGCTGCTCCACAACTCCACTCCAGACATAACTCCTGGAGCTAACTTTAGGAGTTGGAGCTCTACCAAACATGCCCTAACCTCAGTTTTTTCTCTTCAACAAACCAAAAAAGAGGGCTTTGATATGGCTTTGTCGAAAAAATTGCACCTAGATGTTATGATAAATTTGTGTAGTCTCCTTCAAGTGGTGCCTTAGGAGGTGTTTTCTAAGGTTGGAATGGCTCTATGTTTGATGGCCAAATCTTCCTTCAAACGGATCATGCAATAGTCTTACACTTCATCTCAAAGCTGAATGCAGATTCTCTATATCTGGTTAATATTTACGGACCTTCCTATGTTCCAGGCACACATGATTTTGTTGAATGGATGAATGCCCTAGACATTAATGTTAATGATAACTAGGTTTTTATGGGAGATTTCAACTTTATAGAGCAACTGGAAATAGAAATAGGCTAGGAGATGATATGTTCATCTTCACTGAAATCATCAGAAATTTAGGACAGCTATAAGTCCGCCTCAAAGTTAGAGCTCACACCCATAAATCTTCAGGTTCAGACCTCAATCCCTATGTTAATGTTTTTCGTTTGGGGAATTTCTAGGAGCTGTCAAAGTTATAGATAAGATATAGACCTCAATCCTCAGGAGCTGTCAGAGTTATAGATAAGACATAGTACCTAATAGTCTCCCTAGGAGGAGAGGGGATAGGTGTAACACCTAGGCTCAAAAACGGTATTGAGTCTATCTTATCCAGTTGGATCACTGTGTTTTTCGTCCTCGCTCTAACAAAAAAAAATCCAGAATAGGAGTTACAGTGACCGGTCAACCTTTTATATTTAAGCTGCTCCCTCTCTTCTCAAATTAGCGGCGTGGGATTATTCTAGCTAGTACTGTAGCGCGGCTGCTGCCGCACTGCTACTACTACACTCTTCTGCTGTTTTGCTTGCATGGGCTGGCCAAGGCCCAAGGCCTGCAGCTGCTGCTGCTGGGCTGGTAGCTTGCTCTCTCTTCTTTTCTCTCTCTTCTTTCTCTTTCTCTTTTCTATAATTATTTGTGGGGCGTTACAACACGCGAACAAGCTAAATAGAAGCCAATACACACCAATAAAAGACAAGCCTAGACATACTTAATCCAGAGCCACAGTTACCGATATAAGGGATCTAGTACTATCTCTAATCTTCTGAGTTCATATTCGAGAAAGAAGACTACACTAGTAGTCGATTGCGTGTTGGCGATCCATGCCGTCAAGCCGACGCCGACTAGATTAGGTTATCCTAAGTATTGTACTCGTGTGGTACTGATATATAAGAGCAACACCGGCTTTGGTCAACAAGAGTAGAGCTATTACCTATCAGTTAAGGGACCTAAATCTATATAAAAATATTTGTCTTCCATCTCTTTTAGCTTAATTTCACATACACCCGGGCACCAACGATCCCCGTGCTCTACAAATACTATGGTTGGGATATCCAACGTCGATAGTGACGCGTTAGATAGGAGCCTTGGTGCTTTAGGCGAGATGGGTTTCAAGAAGACGGATTTCTGACAACAACCTCCTTGATGACTTCGGCTTTGGGAGATACGATCCGACCGGAGTGCGTTCTCCTATGAAGCGGGACCCTTGTCATCTCCATCTCTATCATGACATCACCACTGTGGATTTTTTTCCACGAAGAATACTTCAACAGCTTTGGAATATAGTATGATATATGATCCGACAGAGTACATCGCCGCCAACAATTCAATCTATTAAGATCAATAAAGCTTCGAGACATGCATCGTCGCGTCATGAGTTCTACTACCTCAAACTGATCGACCATGACGCGGCGTACCAACCAATCCATTGATCTGCGATAGGGTACTAGCTGTCGTCGTTGATCGAGTCCGATATCATCAGCCCACACCGCCGACAAGCTGCCTCTTGGTCCAATTTCTACTCGGACATAACGAACCGGAGCATTCAGCGCAAGCAAGTCCCTTAAATAAGGAGTATATGGCTCTGCTCGGAGCACTTGCGCTCTGCCTCGGGTGAAGTGCAACTCTAATCAAAGGAACCAGAAAAGATGACAGCGGAGAATCAAATCAACAGCCACGTGCACATATCCGTGATATGTGATGTACAGTGCAACCTTATCTACGGTAATTTTTTTTATAATGGAAAAACCATTATCTAAGGTAATTAGTAAATTGATTTTTAAATTGGTCTACTAATTTTGTATATATAAATATCTGGCATATATCTACAAAGGTACGCCCAAGATTTTATATCTGATTTATTATACATTTTCCAACTTAATGATTTATTGTGTTTATCTAAAGCATATTTTTTATATGATATCTATTGTGGGAGCGTTCTCTATATTAGACTAACTATGGTCTAATGTTAGAGGCTCACTCTGATTCTTTTGCGTAAATCATGCTGGTTACGGTTTAGATAGTACCTGATAATTAATCTGAATATGCTTGTTATATATGTCCTGATGATGCTAGAAGATTTATACAGTTTTTCGAGTACGTTCCTGGTACACCCTGTTATACATATTGCCTTTTAGAATATATTTTTTTAGGAACAATCGTGCACTCAAGTAGGCAGCGGTCGAGTACGCCACATTGTCGAGAACGTTCTCAAAAAATACGGAGTTGTCAGACCAAATCTACCAACAAAGACTGGTGGCCTATTCCACATATAGTATCGGTCAAGCCCGATTTATTTGTGATATGCTTATAAGTTAGGTATGTGAGTCATGTTGGCCACGTGAGATGCACATGTAACAACCAACTCAAGCGCCTCTATGAGTGGTCGATGTATGGCTACACATGGTCCTCGACCAATGGTCTTAGCGATCCTTTCACCACTTCTCCGAGTTCTCTACGAGTGGTTGAGGTATGGCTACACCTAGTCCTGGACTAGCGGTCGTAGCGATCCTCTCACCACTTCTCCGAGTTCACTACAAGTGGTCAAGGTATGGCTACACCTGGTACTCAACCAGCTGTCGTAGCGATCCTCTCCTTACCTCTCGGAATCCTCTACAGGTGGTCGATGTATGGCTACACCTAGTGCTTGACCAGCGGTTGTAGTGATTCTCCTAGAACATCTATAGGTGGTCGAGGTATATCTACATATGGTACTCGATTAGCAGTCGTAGCGGTCCTCCTACCAGATTTACGAGTGGTCGAGGTATGTCTACACCTGGTCATTCGACTAGCGGTTGTAACGATTCTTCCACCACCTGATATGCATTAAGTATATGCATACAACCAAGTATGAGAAATATAAACCATTGCCAAAAAATACATCGGATGAATGGAGGATCTACATGATATTAAAGTCCAATGAGTTTTAGAATCCAATTCGACCTCCCGAGACAGCACTAAATTGAAACAGACCTAGCGCCTTCATGCCAACTCTGATTTGGGTGATCTTGGACTTGATGGAAGGCTTATCTCACTACCTTTCAAACGCATCCCTTCTCATATTCAAATTCATTCCGGATCGACGGGAATCGTCAAAACAATACAGTGTTGTTGCTGAAACCGAACTTGGGCCTTGAGCCTTGAAATAGACTAGGCCCATCTCAGAAGTATCTCCCTGCACTTAACCCTAGATCTATTTTCCTCTATAAATGTCTATGTACACCCTGTAAAACAAATGGGTTTTGTTTAGTTAAATTTTACCAAGTGCCATTCACCTTGTCTCTAGTCCTTGTTCGATTAGTCAGTGACTATAGATTTAGAGCCCCCAATAGTTGGTGTGTTGATTTACCGAGTCGATTAGATCTACCACTTCAATCGCAACTATTTCTTTGTACTTAATCATGTATTCACAATACTTTTATTACATCGTATCTTGTTCTTGCAGTGTTCTCTCGTTTGCATTGCAGGGATCATCAACCGCGCGTCACGGTTAGTATGACATCGTTTGTGGTGTAGCGATTGCACGGCGTCCTGGACTTGTTCTGGTTGGTACCCACGTCGTAAACGTTGCACTCAATCAAAGCGAGAGTTATCCACCTCACCAGAAAATCAGGCCACGAGAGAGAGCGTCATCACCACCTCTACAATTTGTTGAGTATGACTGCACACTTGGTTTTTGACCAGGGTGGTTGTTGCCTCAGCATCCGCCGTATCAATTCTATAAGTGTTTGTATATATCAAATGTGCAATATTTATCCGTTGATCCTCTCTTCTTATATCACTACGTTTCGAAGTTGATCCTAATGTCCCATTACATTAGTCTGACAAGCTTCGGGGTCTCATTGACCTTGGCCGGGGACGCTTGGCACTGATAAAGCTTGTCGGGCCACGCATGGTCAAACGTCCATGTCAGATTGGTCATGTCAGAGGCCTACCATTAACATCCTCGATTTTTAATGTAAAAATTGAATGCATCATGCTGAGTTTTATTCATAATCTTTTATTTAATAAAAAAATCCTTTTAAAAGCTTTTACCTTAAAAAGAGAAAAGAGGGTTTGAATTGAATTATATAGTTCAAGTATCTCCCTTTCAATCGTATTACCAAACCTGCCTGGTGGTATTGCAAAAATATCAATTCTATTCATCCATCTCAAGTTCTGAATTTCTTTTATAAAATCCAAACTCCTTCTAATTTAGGTGTTATTCTAAATCCTTTGCAAATTCAAATATTTTCTGAACTAGTTCTATGAGTGCACTCTTAAGTACCTCAAATAGGTTTAGAAACCTTTTTCTACCCTTAACCTATCCAATCTTGGATATAACCACTATTTTCCCAACTAGTTTTTGTCAAAAACGAGAAAGAGTACCTGAGTGGCCCAAATTTTGATCCAAAACCTTTTTTTAACTAAATTTAATCTCTAGAGACCTAAATCAGCTTGTTCAAGTCCTCCTTTGCTCCCTAAACCGGCGAAGGATTTTGTGGGCCACGGTGCGCCGTGTCGTGCCCACACCACGCCAACGCGCATCGACACCCTCCTCCATCACGCGCGTGCAACCACAATGGCGCAACATCCATCTATCCACCGCGCCTTGGATACCCTACTTTCTAAGCACTAATCTTCCCGCGATGGAACCGGCAAGCCAATCGCGGAGCGATCTCATGTGCGTGCCGTGCCCGCCACTCCTCCTCCGCTGGCCGCCATCCTTCGACATGGAGACATCCCAGCGAGAAGCCCAACCAAACCATCACCTTTCAGAGCTCAAAGAAACATAACTTTTCCCTCTCACATCCCCAAACATGGCGCCGATGAGCCGGCCGTTTTCCTCAATGCCGCCATTGCACGTCACACTAGGAGAGCGCCACCTCGCCGCCGCCTCCTAGGCCGTGATTTAAATCCCTTCCGCCACCACTTAAAATAGATCATTCGTCATCCAATTTCACCTTCTCCTCCCTCTCTCAGCCCTCTGTTCCTAATGGCACTAAACTCATCCACGGCACTAATGGCAGCCGAGTGCCGTTATCCACCAACCATCACCACACCATCACACCAAAGCTCTACATCTCCATACATTGCTAAGGTTGCTGTGGAGCACTGGTCTTAGTGTGCGATCACGCTGCCGCCGCTCCAATCCTTTCCCAGCCCCGAGAACAAGTTGAACATCGCTTACATGCTCTGTTTTGATCCTTCATCGCTACCAACTTGCTCTGTTTCGGAGTTCGAGTGCTGCCACCAGTTGCATTTCATTCTCCGACCAAATCCCGGTGAGCTTTTGCAGTGCTCAGAAATATGGTTGAATGAAATAAACTTAGATTGGAACATTACGCTAGAAAAGAATAATTTCCGGGTGGCTAGTATTGTTTCGATCGATATAAGATATTATCAAGTACATGTGAAGAACGAATGAGTACGGCCGCAACTCTCACGTGGGTATAAACCTAGTGGATTACGTTATTTAACAAAAGTGGTACTTCTGCATACTGGTTCTATTTTTAAGTCCTCAAGGAGGACCTTGAAGAGGAGGCAAATTTTTGTCGAGCAAGGCAATCGTAATATTTACTGAGAGCGGGTAAATATTTATTTGAGATAAATTGATAAATTGTGATGTCACGAATTATTTGTGAACCCTGATTGCGATAACATGGTGGCATGCATACAATCAGTTCTTCTGAGACCCCAGGAGCTCCAATACACATTCAAGGTGTATGTGGAAGTTTGGTTCATGGAGCAGGTACCACTACTGATAAATAGCTGAAAAACTAGGCCATGACAAAACTACAATTTAATTGGTACGTCATGGATTGCGGGTACATCGTACATCTACTACAGTAAGAGTATTATTGAATCTACTCAGATAGCCGTACTCATGGGAATTGAGCAGCGAGACTCACATTGGTATCTTGGTTAGAAATTAAGATTTATTCTTTGCTAAATTCTCTATGAGCATACCAGATTCAATATTTCCAAATTAGCTTTATGCAAATAACTATCTTATATTTATTGCAATAACTTGCTGGGTGTTGTGTATACTCACCCTTGCTCTATATTACTTTTTCAGATGTGAGTCAAGAGGAGGACCCTTATGACTACTAAAGATTTCTACTTCCCTAGTCAAAATAAAGTAGAACCTCATCCATCATGGTTTGTATCAAATATTATCTAGCTAAAACTCTCTATGTAATATTATACCTCTTGTAATTTGTACATGTGTAATGAACATCCGGTTGTAATATCTGTATCAATGTTAATGATCCAGGGTTGATATAGTAATACTTGTCGATTTCCAATTATTTAATTTTGGGACCCGACACTACTTAAACATTAATTCAAACCAAGCTGTGTAATCGTTAATTGGTCTTCCTAACTTCACGGCTGGGGCTACGAATTCGCTGCTTTGGCATAATTTGTTATATGATTAGAGCTGCACTTGTGGAAACCCGCCTTTTCCATCAAGACAGCTAGAGACTAGGAAGGGTAAAACAAACTCTATTTAGCCGAGGGTGGCTCTGGCGAGAGTACTCTTTTATTATCACAAACAAATTCATTTTATTTTCAAGTGTTCGCTCGGAGGCTTTTCTGTCTGATGATTCATTCTAAGTAATTGATTTTAGAAAAGTTAGATATTGGAGATTTGTCACGTACTCTTCACCTGCTCGGCTATCCGAAAATGGTTGGATGAGTTCGACATGGCACTACTAGAAAAACACTTTTTGCAGGCGGTCAGAACAAATTTTCGTAGGCGGACATATCGTCCTCCCGTACCTAAACGCCTACGAAGATCATCAATCTTCCCATGTGGTACAGTAGTCCACCTGCGAAGATAGGGTCTGGCGCCAAACCCTCGCCCCCCCCCCCCAACCCAGCCCCCGGCCGTGCCCTCGGTTTCACCCCCAAATTACAAATCCTCCAACAAAATCCAACACAATCCTCCATACATGAACAAAATTCATTCATCAACACAATCCTCCATACATGAACAAAATTCAAATAAAAATCATCCAAGGGTGCTACTCCATCACCACTGCCCCATCCTGGATGCAGCACCTAAACCACCACCACCGGGATTAGAGAGAAGTGAGGATAAGAAGAGAAGAGGTGAGAGAGCAGTCGAGCTTACTTGTCGCCGAGCCGCCGCCAGCCTCTCTCTGAACCCCCTCAGGGCCGGGGTGAGAGGCAAGTAGGGAGGGAGTTTGCCGTCACCGCCGGTAGTCGCCGCCGCCTTCTGCCCCCGGGCCGCTGGCCGGCCACCAATCTCCCCCCTCCGCTCTCCGGCCAGATCTGGGAGGGAGGGAGGGAGGGGAGCCGCTGCCGTCCGCCCGCCATCCACCCCGAGACGCTGGCCACCGGCCTCCTCCCCCCTCCCCCCTCCGGCCAGATCTGGGAGGGAGGGACGGAGGGGAGCCGCCGTCCGCCCCACCGCCTTCCACCCACCGCATAACGCCGCCGACCGCCCCGCCGCGCCATGCTGCCGACCGCCCCACCGCGCCCCGCCGCCCTCCCCCAACCGCCCTCTGGCCAAATCTGGGAGGGAGGGGCCGGGAGCCACCTGCTGCCCGCCGCCGGGAGACGCCGCCGCCGGCGGCCGGGGAGAGGAAGAGAGGTGAGGGGAGGGGAGGGGAGGGGAGAGGTGTGGAGGAGAGGGACGTGGGAGAGGAGTGGAGGGGAAGTGGAGGACTTAGAAAAAATAGCCCCTAGGTTGCTCTATTTATATTTCAAATCTATTTTCGTAGGCGGACCATATAAGAGGTCCGCTTGTAAAAATGAAGGGTATCTTTGCAGGCGGACTGCTTAATTTTCGCAGGCGGACAACGAGTTTCACCCTATTTTATATTTTTGTAGGCGGCTATTTGGCTTCCAGAGTTATATCCGCCTAAAAAATAAATATCTAGTGTGGATTACTGGGTAAAGTGATGGTTTGCCTGCTAGATGTGTCTTAGTTACTTCAATCCAAAGCGACCGAAGCCGTCGAAGTTGTGGAAGGGGGTCAGACGGAGCGGTAGCGAACACCTTCGTTTTCGCCTGAAAGAGCTATCGCCGACAGAGAGAGAAAGAGGTCAACTACCTCTCAACATAAATTTTTATTCCCTTCTGCGGTGACACTTTTAGTGAGACTGGGGCTAACATAAAAGCATAATATCTTTAAAATTCTATTAAGTACACACCCGTCCCTGCAAATTTATTCACCATAATTAATTTGACCCGTTATGGGTGGAGTGGTGCATGAATATGTAAGGGGTGTTTAGATTAAGTCCAAAGATGTGAAGTTTATGCGTATCACATCGAGTATTATATAGAGTGTCGCATAGGGTATTCAGGTACTAATAAAAAAAACTTACAGAATCCAACATTAAACCGCGAGACGAATTTATTAAGCCTAATTAATCTCGTCATTAGCAAATATTTACTGCAGCACTACTAAATCATAGGGCAATTAGGTCTAAAAAATTTGTCTCGAAAATTAGTCGCAATCTGTTCAATTAGTTATTTTTTAGCCTATATTTAATATACTTTATGCAGGTGTTTAAACGTTCGATGTGATAGGGTGTAAAATTTTTATGTGGGGCTAAATTTGCCACCACATCTGAAATTTGGTAGGCAGTGCATCATAACTCCACCACCGGACTGATATTTTCCGACATGTAAGCTTTCGAGTCAACAAAAACACGACACTTTAACACAGCATCTTCATCATTTTTTAATAATAGAATTAAATATCCTGGTCTTGCTCAAGAATCACAGCCATTTATTATAAGGTTCACACAAAAGCAAACTCAAACAGTGAGTATGTAGCAAAAATAACAAAACCAAAAATAGAAGCAAACTAACAAAAACCAAACAAGGTAAAACCCTCACAACTACTAAATTCTACTCCCTCCATTTCACATTGTAAGTCATCCTAGCATTTTCCACATTCATATTGATGATAATGAATCTAGACATATTTATCTATCTAGATTCATTAACATTAATATGAATATAGGAAATGCTAAAATGACTTACATTGTGAAACGGAGGAAATATTGGTGAATTTTTACCCGAAGTTGGTAAATAGCTGCATGATATATGATTGTCGACTCAAGTTTACGATACACAATTTTTTATTAGCTTGATATGATCTTCATGCTTATTTTAATTGAGCCCATTTCCGGAGTGTAATAGTTTCACGGATAGACTTCAATGATGGACATCAAACCTAAGACGGGCATGATTCGGTAATCACTGAAACCAGCGTCCAAGAAAATCTTTTTAAATTCATGCTCCTCTCGCTCCGCCCCTCCTATAGCTATCATGTTCATATCAGCCAGCACTTGTCTCTTTGAGAGTACTGTCCTGTTTCACCCCATACCCAATTACCGGATTTATCAGTATCACTTTCCCTCCATCACCTCTTACAGGAATTGCTTTCTTACACTGCCCAACTATCTTAACGCAGTCATCCGCATCCCAGCAATGCAAAACATGCTGAAAGCCGTACATACAAACTAATTATCCATCAATATATATATGCTACTCCCTCCATCCCAAAATATAATAACCTTGTACTGGATGGGAAACGTCCTAGTACTAGATGGAAAATATCCTAGTACAACGAATCTGAACAGCAGTATGTCTAAATTCGTTGTACTAGAATGTATCCCAACCAATATAAGGTTACTATATTTTAGGACGTAGGGAGTACCATATAAAATGGAGAAAACACGGAGAACATAATGTAATGGGAAATGGATTTTTATCTTTCGAGGGGATATCTATCCCCTCATTTTGCGTATGCCGTTTAAAAAGTTATCAAAAAAATTCAAAAAAAATTGTCAAGATATAACAATATATGATTTATCTTTTCGCAAACATGCAAGTTAAAATTCAACTTATACAATTCGAAAAAAATAACAAATTTAACCGCGAATTAAACGTCCTCTTCATAGTCAAATTTGTTATTTTTGTTTCTACTTGTATAAGTTGAATTTGAATTTGCATGTTTGTAAAGTGACATATCACATATTGATCTAAACTAATATTTTTTTCAAATTTTTTATGACTTTTTAAGTGACATGAAAAATAAGGGGATAGATAAATTAAGTTTTCCAGTGTAATGTATACCTTGAGTAAAACCGCATCGGCTGGAGGAATATCCTCAAACATGTCGCCAGCGATAAAACACACCGTGCCATCGTCGGGTGCCTGGCTGATCACATGTGGGAGGTCAAGCACGCTGCACTTGATGTCCGGAAACGCCTTGGCGATGGCCATCGCGGCTCCTCCATGGCCGCCGCCGACATCGACCAGCGATCTAAGCCCTCGGAAGACGACATCACCGCGCTCTCTTAGCGCGATCTCCATGAGGAAGCTGCTGTCGGCGACGCACGCGTCGTTGAGGGCCGAGTTCATCGTGTCGTCCCTCTTCATCATCTCCCACGGTGGCATGCCATGAGCCATCTCGAAGAGCGCCGTTGGGCTGGCGTTTCGTCCATCCCTGAACCACGGACTTAGGCTGGAGAATGTGGTGAGCATCGCAGGGCTCACCACGAGGTGAACCAGAGGGGAGAAGTTGCACGAGGCCTTATCACCGACGAGGATGCGAGATGCCGGGGTGAGCTTGTAGACGTCTTCTTCAACGGCAAATATGCCGGAGACGGAGAGCACGCGCATGAGCCGGCGAAGGTGCGGGAGCTTGGCCGGGGGGATCATGGTGTCGGCGACGATATCGGAGATTGTGGCGGCGCCTCCACGGCGGTGGATGGCGCCAGGGATTCCAAGATCAGTGGCGCAGAGAAGCGCCATGGATTTGTGGTAGCCGTACAGGTGGTGGTGGAGATCGATGTGGCCCTGAAGCATGTCCTGGGTGCTCAGCTCTTGCTCGGTACACGACATGATGTTCTACTTGCCCAGGGCTTGGCCTGAGTGGGCTGGTTAATTTGTTTGATGACACAGAGGGACCAGATATCTAGCAAACAGTATGGTCATATAAATAGGCAACAGTACCCGCAAAGATCAAGGATACTAGTCACTAACCCTGTACTACATATATAATCAATAAGTAATGTTTTTTTAAAACGTGTTGATTATTTTTCAGAAAAAATATACTTCCTCCATTTCAAGTTATAAGATGTTTTGACTTTTTCAAGTTTGACCAAGTTTATAAAAAAAAGAAATATTTTCGACCTAAGATAAATTTATTATAAAAACATATTTAGTTACAAATTTAATAAAACTAATTTGGTAATGTAAATATTATTATATTTCTCTGTAAACTTAGTCAAACTTGAAGCACTTTGACTTTAACTAAAGTCAAAACATCTTATAACCTGAAACGAGGGAGTGGTAGCTTAAGAATAAGGAAAAAGTACGAATTACCCCCTGAACTATCATAGACGATCGAATTACCCCTAAACTCGAATACCGGATATTTTACACCCTTAACTATACAAACTGGACAAATAACCCTCCGGCTCAATCCGGGGTGGTTTCAGTCCTACGTGGTAGTCCAGTCAGCAATTTTTTTAAAAAAAATAGTGTGGGTCCCACCTGTAAGACTCCTCATTCTCTTTCCTCTAAATCTCACACTACTCTCTATTCCTAAATCCCCATCCCCTCTCTCTCTCTCCTCCCTCCCCTGTTGCAGCGAGCGGCGGCGGCCGGCTGGCAAGGCGTGCACGGCGGCACGCGGGGGCGACCGGTGGACGGCGGCGTGCGGCTGTGGGTGATGAGCGGCGGCGCGCCGGCAGAGGACGAGCGGCGCCGTCGAGGACGTGCGGTGGGCAGTGGCACAGGGGGATGCGTGGTGACACTGGAGCTCCACCCCGTCGCTCGTCCCCTCCAGGGACTCCTCCATGGACGCCATCGACCTCCACCATCCGCCGGAGCTTGCTCGTCGCCACCGCCCAAATTCCTCGCCGATCTGGCAGACTACCGCCTTGTTGACAGTGAAATTTGGTAAGGCCAAAGTCATCATCGGCTTAGAGTCACTATCGGCTATGGCATCTCGGAATCAGCCGATGGGAGTTATCAAGTCGCCAATAGTCGGATTCCTGCTATATTCGGTTAAGGAAATCAATCTACTAAAGGAAGCTTACCCATAAACGACCGAGTTCAAAGAGGATACGGCATGGCAGTTTATCTATTAATTAGGAATAGTTTGTTAGTTTCCTTTTATCTTTAGGAAAGTGTGTTTAGTGTCCTATAAGGACTTTAACTTTTCCTTTTATCTTTAGGAAAGTTTCTTTCTTGGCCGACAAGGACTTGTATCAACCCATGGGTATAAATATGTACACCCGAGGTCTATGTAATCTATCGCTACGATCAATACAATTCGGCGCATCGCCACCCTTTTTACTTCTACTTTTGTTTTTTACATTTCGGCAGAACTTGACACCCGACGCGGGGCTGCATCGTCTTCGATCTCCGGCGAAGGGATAAGTCCAATGTTCCGTCGGCCCAGGCAATTGTCTCATCTACATCGGTGTCGTTCAAGGCTGTATCAGTACATTCGACCTCTTGGATTGCTCTGGTTTTGATGATATATTTGCCTACCTATTTATCATATGTCTCTGTTAATCTAGTCTTAGCATGTCAATTTAGCTCTATCGGCTGCTTCTCGTTTTAGGGTTTCTGCCGGTATCGGCTAAATCGCGTTGCTAGATTAGATTAGCTTAGACATCTAACACCCTGAAAACTCAGTCAACGGCTTGATTGTCTAGATATTATGTTTGTTTTCATACTTAGTGCTGCATCAGTTAAGTTTGATCTACTAAGTCATGCTTAGAACCATAATCTCTAGCCTGCTTCTTGATTGTCAATAAGGGTTTCATCGGGGTTTCAACCGGTGAGTTATCTGGACGTTGCATCGGCTCATAAGGATTGCATATACATATAAGTTGGATTTAGCCGATGACAACAAAGGCTTCACTGTTTAATCTAATCTTGTGGATTTCATGACATCGGACCTCCAGCCGATGTGTGCTTTGACCTTCGGATCGATGCTTATTTATCATATCATTATTTGCTGATTGGTTTATACTGGATTATATTGTTATTTTATTACATCGTCGTCAGCCGATTGCCTTTATATCAGTATCTACATTGGACATATAGCCGATTGCTTAAACCCTATCGCTATCGGCTGGTATCGGCATCGGCTATTATCGGCTATCGGCTGGAACTACTCCATCGGCTTGTCAGTCGATCGTCTGTTTTGATCTACTATTTGCATATCTTGTCAGTTGCAGGATCAAACTGACTGGCACGCTCGTATCTCACCAATTTTTGGACCTGCACAGGAGTTAAGCAGATCTCCCAGGCCGGTGTATTCGATTTTTTCGTCAACACGCTTGGAACAGGCTGCCGCCCTACCAGTTTTCCGCGACCACCACAGTCCCCTGCCTCTTCGTCGACATCGCCTCCGCCATCTTCAACCTTTCCGTCCACTGGGCTGCTCGTCGGCAACAAGCACCCGTCGCCGGCATCCTCTCCATCTGCCGATTGGAGGTCGTGTGGCGCCGGTAGTCAACGCGCACAGCGACGCGCGGGGGCTGGCACAGGTCGAGCGGTGGCGGTGGTCGTCACGCACGGTGACGTGCAGGGCCGACGATGGGCGGTGGCGCGCAAAGCAGAGGCAGGACGTCAGCTACCACAGTCACGGCCGAGGCGGAGGTGGAGAAGGCCGAGGTGTAGGGGGCAGTATTGGCGGCGGTGAGGCTCCCCACCGGTTCGCCCTCCCCGTCACGCTCGCCATAGCTCGTCGCCGGCCACTCGCTACCCAGCTCCGACCTCCACCTCCGCGTCTTGCGCTTCCGCCCACGGCCGTCCGCTGCTACTCGCTGCAGCAAGAGGAGGGAGGACAGAGAGGGCGTGCCGCCGTCGTGCCTTGCCGGCTGGTCGGCACCGCTCGCCGCAGCAAGGGGAGGGAGAAGAGAAAGGGCGTGCCGCCATCGTGCCTTGTTGGCCGGCCGCCGCCGCTCGCTGCAGCAAGGGAGGAAGGAGAGAGAGAGAGGGGGGATGGGATTTAGGAAGAGCGAGTAGAGAGGGATTGAGAGGAAAGAGAGAGAGGAGAGTCTTACAGGTGGGGCCCACACTATTTTTTAAAATAAAAAATTGCTGACTGGACTGCCACGTAGGACTGAAACCACCCCAGATTGAGCTAGGGGGGTTATTTGTCAGGTTTGTGTAGTTAAGGGTGTAAAATATCCGGTATTTGAGTTTAGGGGGTAATTCGATCGCCCATGATAGTTCAGGGTGGTAATTCGAACTTTTTCCTAAGAATAAAAGAATAGTCAATATTACACTAGTACATATTCTTACATGTGTAACAGGTCATTTGTGACGGGTCCAATAAAACTGTTACAGATTATGTCATCTGTAATGGCTGATATAGACAACCGTTACCGATGACCAAAACAACCTTGAGCCATTACTGAAGCCCCCGTATCTGTAACTGCTCCTAACCGAGGGCAGTTACAGATGTAAGCTCCATTATCTCACTAGGAGCCGTTGCAGATGACCCACTCATCTATAATGGTTCTCCATTAAGAGCCGTTACAAATATCGGTCCCTTAGCTATAATGGCTCTCAACTTAAAACTGTTATAGATATGTCACTCATTTGTAACAGCTCCACATTTAGAGCCGTTACAGATAATTTCTAGGTCTACTAACTTAAATAAAAAATAAAAATCCTAGCCAAAACCCTTAACTCCCTCACTTCCTCTCCTTTTTCCCCCATCTCCCCACCATTTTCCCCCTCAATCTCTCCTCGTCTCTGTCCTTATCTCTATCCTCTCTTCTCCCGACTCAATGGCTAGCGGGGCTGGCATGTGTGGCGGCGGTCGCGGCTGGTGGCTCGGTGGGGTTGGCGCGGGTGGCCGCCGAGGCTGTGCAGGTGGTGGCGGTCGTGGCTGGTGGCAACGGTTGACGATGGTGCAGGCGGTGGTGGCTGGCGCGGGTGGTGGCGTGCATGCCTTTGGACCACCAGATTCGGCGGCTGCAAGGCACGGGTCCTTCAGATCCGGCGGAGGCTGGCTACAAGATCACTGTATCCGGCTTCAACGGGTGGCGGCAGGAAGCCCAGATAAACGGATGACTCCTTCGAGCCACCGTGCAGCGGCCATCCATGGTAGCATGCTAGGAGTGAGGATGAAGACGGGGTGATTTTTTATTTTTTTATTGTGAATATTCACCTTTTTTTTAAACCTGAATTTTCACGTGCCGTTACAGATAACTTTCATCTGTAATGGCACTTTAGTCGTTACAGATGCGTCTCCATATCTGTAACTGTTAGGTTAGGTTGTAACAGTTGGTTTAACCGTTATAAATGTGAGTTATCAGCCATTACGGCTGTAGTGTTCTGTGCTAGTGTTAATTACAACATTCATTGCAAAAGACCATTAATTACAACTTTGTATTATTAATTCATAATTCCGGAATGAAGTTTATAAAATTTTTAATTGTGGCCCTACATGGATACAACTTTTGTTAATTAATTTGAAATTTAGGACTGACAATTATTTTTCAGTCAAAGATATTTGCAATGTGATGTTTTATTGAACATCAACTCTCAATAAATTCACTCAGACTGCTTACTACGATCAACCTAATCAACAACTGGATTTTTCGGATAAAGTGGAAGCTCACTCAGAATACATTATAGGATACAAATTCATTATAAATAATGTTTAATTTACAATTTATCATTTCGTTAAAACGATGATCGTAAGTTATTCATCTTTGTTAACATACATACTCTTCTGCGTATAAGAAATCTAACAACAAATGCAAAGTCACGTACTCCCACTCCCCAACATTTCCCTTTCTGTTTTACTCATATATTTTCTCCATCTAATATGGTCATATTTATCTTATTTTACCGTAATGCGATAAGTCAGCAGATGCGATGTCTAGCATATAGGTTGTTGTGATTTGTGGTAGCTAGCCCACGGGCCATGGATGTCCAGCATATGCTTAG